AACGATTTTCACCTTCCTTTATGTAGAACAAACCTTCGTAAATTTTCTGTCAGTTTCTAAGGACCTACTTATTATAACTCTACAGAAAATGATATTAAAGAATCTAATTCTCTCCACTTATTCAAAACGAAATTGAAAAAAAATTGTATATGAATTATTAGTTATAAATCTTGTAGTTATCTTTCTTCACATGTCTGATATTATTTTTATACTTATTGTTACATGTACCATACTTTATGTTTTTTCAACTCAGTCTATGTAATTAGTTAATTTATACTTACCTTCATTGTATTTTACTATCGATCCTGGCCTTACTGTTACTATTAACTTTATTTTTACTCTGAGGGGGCCCAGTGTCTATAAGCCTCATGGTTTCTTTTTGGGCTTCCTCGCCACTTTCATTTGCTTTTGTGTAACTGTCTTGTTTTATCGTTATTTGTATTTTGTGGTAAATCAAATAAAGTTACAAAGTTGCAAAGTTATATGGGGTCTAGGGGCTCTGAGAGGCCAGCGGCACATACCCAGTAAAAATTACCCCACGTAACCCCCCGGGGGGTACCGCGGTTTCGTTGAAATCATAACAGTTTTCCTGGAAAGGTCCACGGGATCTCGGTCAATCTTAATAAGCAAATTTTCTTTTCAACCTGAATCAAAATGATTAGTAAAAAGAATAGTGCCCTTATTTTTGACTCCAATTTTCTTTTTTATAAAAAATACATAAACAGACCAGAATCTTACTTTTCCATTTAAAAAAAATGAAATATTCGGCGGCGTTGCCCATGTTTCTCATGGCACGAAAACTTACTTTCATATGACAACATGCGGGTTTTTTTTTTCGCACGCTCAGGAGGTCAAAAGGATGTGATTTTTCATGAAAAAAATATTCACAAAATTCTGCTTGACTTGTTAAGAAAATAATTTTTAATAATTAACTAACAGCTCATTGATTTATTAATTCGGGCGACCAACTTGGAGGCCCGGACCCCAGCTAAAAATGCTTGGGGAGCCCGAAGGGCTCTCTGAAATCTTCCTAGAGCACAGCCTTGCAGCCCTGTAGTTATTGGAAGTATGATACATTACATGTTATTGTTAAATGTGGAAGTGCATTTTTTGAGGACATTAGTAAAGGAATGCAAATTTTAGTGAACTATTCCATACTCCTAACAGATATGGTGGTAATATTGATGTAAGTTTTGTTTTGAGTAGCAAAGGAACCCTTGTGTGTAACTCACCTTCTTGTGTATTAGTCCTTAACAGAACATCTCCATCTCTCCTGCACACATTTGTTGCATACACTACTCAACTTGCCATTGCTATTCAACATAACGGTAATTCTTTCTTACACAAACACATCCCGCGTAAACGCCTTCGGGCGTCTTCTTGTTATGACACTGTTTGCAATTCACGAGCATTCCTGGACAGCTTGAGAATGGATAAGACAAACATTAATGCGCTTGTACAATCAATTGAGTGTTCTTTACATTTAATATACAAAAATATATTTTCAATTAAACAATACCAATTTCCCTCCCCCCCCCCCCCCCCCCAAAGTTGGCCTAAACTTGTTTAAAGAATCACGCCGTACTTCGCCACTGTGTGTTCGTCGACGGCTGCGGCTATCATTTACCCTAGGCGACCAGAAGTCATGGTGGGACGCGACAGGGAGTGGAAGGCGTACCGCCAAGTGTGCGGCCAACGAGGACGAAACTTGACTATGACCATGGCAATATTACCTATCCATTGTTTTCCTCGGCAGCTGCTGGAGTAATGAATATTGTGTCGGTTTTTCGGTGATTTTATGGCATGGGCGAGGGAAAAATGGATCCCGATAAGTCGGTGGTCTTTGCGTATGACGGGGTGCCAACCCACCTAGATTTGGCCATTTCCGCCCCATACGTACACCACTTATGCTCCCCCCCTCGACGTCATTGAAAAGGATTTAAGTTGTCTGAAAGCGACACCAAAGGCCGACATCTCCAGTCCGGAAATTTGAAGAGGTATAACAGGAATGAGGATAAAGCCCTAGCAATCCCACTAGCAGAGTTCGGAAACAACAACTGCAGTGCCTGAAGCTCTGCGTAGAAACATGACATTGTGACCGCAGCTAAATGAGCTAAGGGGTACTATTTCATGCAAACTTACCTCCCAAAATGTTTTAATAGCGAGGTTTTTGAGGATATACATTTAACGGACTGAAATTCAGGCCAAATTTGTTTGAATTTCTATTGTTTAATTGAAAATCGATTTTTGTATATTAAATATAAAGAACACTCAGTTGATTGTACAAGCGCATTAATGTTTGTCTTATCCATCTTAAGGTTGTCCAGGAATGCTATTGAATTGCAAACAGTGTCATAAAAATGTTAATGAATAGTGTTTGCACTTGTCAGTTGTCCCTATTGACTTTCAAGATTGTGTTAATGACTTTGATGTTGGTGTTAATGAAATAATAATATACACGAAAAAATTACTCAATTCTGATTGGCTGAGAAAGGAGTGCAGTTCTTCTGTCACACTAGTGCAAACTTGTAACACGAGTGCAAATTACAAATGGTTTCTGATTGGCTGAAAACACAAAAATAAACCACAAAGGACCCAATCAGATTAGAGCTGTTTTAACAACAAAATTTAAGAAAATGGCCATGGTTTTCAGCAGACGACGAGGGGATTTAAGAGTGCTAAGAGAAAAATACTGTCAACAAAATCGAGGAAAATGAGCCACAGAAACTAAAAAACAAGCTACTTATAACAGACTACGCTAAAGCAAAAATAATAAAGAACAAAGACGGTGGCAACCATACGTAAACCATGACAGGTACACTTTTCAGGCACTTAAATGAACAAGGATACAAGTTTTCCATGATAACGACAGGGATTTCAAGTCACGTACGTTATTTGTTGGAGGAGAAAGGTGTCCGGTTAATCTCTTTGAGACTTTCGGGGAGCGAGACATCCATGTGATGGTCTGTTTTTTTTTTTCTACCTCAGTAGCAAACGAAATCGATAATTTAAACATCTGATCCAAACTCAACCAAAGAGCCAAAATACCATAACTAACAGAATGAAAGTATCCGTAGCTGGTACTAGCCTTAAAGAAAGTGAGAAAATAGTTAACGAATCATTGTGCAAGAAAAACAACAGTCAGGAAGCTGAAAAAAGCAAAGATTTTAAGTTCAGAACATAGCGCCAATATCACAGGCCACAGAGCTATAAATTTCCTTAACGACTACAATGAAGCCGACGAAGAAGAGCTACAGTGACTCTTGTAGTAGGCCAAATGAAATAATGAAAACCCCAGCGCTGAGAAAAAGCAAATACTATATTAATACTGGCAGTTTCTGACATCACAACAACTGCGGCTCCACTCACCCATCGATGGCAGCGTCGGAAGAACACAAATTGCCTCCTTCATTTTCGGGGTTTAAATCTCAAAAATTTCTCCATGAATCCAGCTATGATGGATAGACAAAGATGAACAGTCGTTAAAAAACCTTAGCCAATGTCTTTCATCTTTGGCTGCTCGAAGCGTTCTCCTGATTTCAAAACGGCAGTATACTTCTTGTAAACGCTTCTGGTAAACGCCGAGCTCTCATAATCGAGGATGAATTTAAAAACACTTACTTTTGCTGATTATTGTAAACCAAGTTATCTTTAACAGGCTGGTGACCATATAGAAAAATCCTTGCCCATTTTCAAGTTCTTAGATGAATGATTTTAAAAGCGTTGGTAGTCTGTTTCAGCCAATCAGTTGAATGAACTAAAAACGCGCGCGCTGTCAAAATTTGTTGTTGTAGTTATGTTTTTGTGTATATTATTAATAAGTAATCACATGATTTTTCTCGTGCAATTTGGGATAAATAAGCACTTGTTTTGTTGGTCTTTGAAAAATTTACTCGTGCTTATTTATTCCAAATTGCACTCGAAATCATGTGATTACCCATACGTATATTTTTGTCTTTTGTATGCCCAGTGACCTATATGAATGCCCAAAAGTGTTATTGAATGTTGATTAAAACGCAAAAATCGTAATTGAATCTGATTTATGCGCAAATGTTCGTATTTTCGCGCTAATGAATGTATCTTCCCACTACTGGTCGCCGTTTCACGCTAATGATTGCTTATTTTCTCGTAATGAACAGCAAAAGGTGTAGTCGCAGCACTTCATCACTCTCTATTGGAAACTACTAGTATTGTATTTTTCGCTTTTAATCACATGCAATTAAACTTTCGCACCCAACTCTCTATATAATGAAGGCCTACGCCTCGATAAAGTTTCCCGAGAACCGACTTCACAAGATAAAGCGTTTTCTAATTGGATATTCCTAACGATACACCCCCGTCACACCGCCGGCCAGAAAACTGACCGGTGAAACATAGCGCGCTGTAGGAGAGAAAACTACGTTTCCCGACTGACCACCTAACCAGAAGGAAGGGGAAACGGGCTTTGAGAAAGTCTATATAAAAATGTATAAGCTGGAAACATCACAATAACCTAATGACATGAATTTTTAAGGCATTCCGGCATGAAGAGAAGTCCAATCACGGCTCCAAAAGAAGATGACCTCACATCAGCTTCTGAGGACACCCTTCAGTTTGATGAAGCTCTAAAAGAAGATGACGTCACATCAGCTGCTGCGGAAACAGTTCAGTTTGAGGAAGAAACAAAAGAAGATGACTTCAAATCACCTGCTGAGAAAACACCTCAGTTTGATGAAGCCCTAAAAGAAGATGACGTCACATCAGCTACCGAGGAAACAGTTCAATTTGATGAAGCCCCAAAGGAAAATGACTTCACGTCGGCTGCTGTGGAAACACTTAAATTTGATGAGGCTCCAAAAGAAAATGACGTCATATCAGCTGCTGAGGAAACAGTTCAATTTGATAAAAACCCCAAAGAAAATGACGTCACAGCAGCTGCTGAGAAAACAGTTTATTTTGATGAAACCCTAAAAGAAAATGACGTGATATCAGCTGCTGAGGAAACGGTTCATTTTGATGAAGCCCCAAAAGAAGATGACGCGATATCAGCTGCTAGGGAGACACCTCAGTTTGATGAAGTCCCAAAAGAAAACGACTTCACACCAGCTGCTGAGGAAACAGTTCAATTTGATGAAGCTCCAAAAGAAAATGACGTCACGTCAGCTGCTAAAGAAACAGTTCAAGTTGATGAAGCTCCAAAAGAAGATGACGTCACACCAGCTGCTGAGGAAACACTTCCATTTGGTGAAGCCTTAAAAGAAAATGACGTCACTTCTGCTACTGAGGAAACAGTTCAATTTAATGAAGCCCCAAAAGAAATTGACTTGATATCAGCTGCTGAGGAAATAGTTCAATTTGAAGAAGGCCCAACAGAAAATGACGTCACGACAGACTCTGAGTTTGATGATGACACTTTAAGAGGTGAGAAAACAACATGCTGTTTGCTTTCTATACCAAGATGTCAACGACGGTGAAATGAGAAAGTGCAGTCAGTTAGGAATCGTGCTCACGAATCCGCACATTCTTGAAACCCCACATTTTTTCACCCGAATTCGTGTAGACGGGGCCTTGGACCTCTATGAAGAGCGGTTTCACAGGGAAAAAGTGAGGTTTCAGTGAGCGGTCTTACTGGTTTCGTATGGACGGAAGGCCGATTGGTGTGCACGAGGCCTCAATGACATTTACATTTAAACTGTTAGCCCAACTCCCAAGTCAAGTATTATTAAATTATTCTCATCAATAAAACGCCCCAGTAAAACAGTGCGGTGGCGTATGTAAAGAACTGATAATTTCGAGAACTTAACCCTCTGAGGTGTTTTTTGAGTTTTTTCTTAGACGAAAAAACATCAGCACCTAACGTTTTCAGTAGCTGTTCGTTTATCCCTCGCGCGCGTTTTGAGACATGTTTAGTGATGGTCAATTAGTATGTGCAATCAAATGGTGACGAGTGAAATTAGGGAATAATTTCAAGCGCGTTTTGTCCAAATCCTAATAATTTCCCGAGCCTGAAGGCTCGGGAAATGATTAGGATTTGGACAAAAAGCAAGTGAAGTTATTCCCTAATTTCACTAGTATACCATTTGATTACCTATTAATATCATGGGTGACGAATAACGTTTGCAATCTTGGATTTTTGACGTGTTTATCCTGGATAGTATCGATCGAGAACTTCACTCTCTCAAATGTTTAAACCTTAAATTTGGCTTATAAAGTTCAGAATTTTTCAGACCTTTTCGGCAAAATACCTGTTAGAATCCTTCTTGATGTTCTCTTGTGTGTTCAGGTTTTCTGAAGAGTCCTTTTGTGCCCTGACATCTTCATTCACGGCATTTTAAAACTTCGTCGCCATCTTGACACTTAGACATACGGAAGGGTTGCCATGGCAATTTTGTAATTTCACATGTGAAACTACAAATTAACGCTGAAATTTCGCGCCAAAATTAAGGAGTAATTCGTCACCTATGATATTATTATGGTTACGAGATATGACGTCATAAGTACCAGGTGGTCAAGCCATTTTTGAGTGAAAATGCATGTACGTCCGAGGGTTAACTTGTGTTTTGAATTAGCACTGCAGCAGTTGTAAGTGTCAAGAAATAGTTATGATAAAAATACCAGAAATTGTGAACGCACAAAAGCCATTATTACACAATTATTCGGTCGAAAGTTTGGAATAACTAAAATTAGGTTTTTCTTCGTTGCAGCAATTTCAGAGGTGTACAAGAATGAGGGTAACGATGAATACAAGAAGAAGAATTTCAATAACGCCATTTACTTCTACACTGAGGGAATTAACGTGGACTGCAAAGATGAAGAGCTTAACGCCAAACTGTACAGTAACAGAGCGGCAGCACATTTTAACTTGGGTAGGAAGTTGTTATCTTTTCTTTATATTGGTTGTCTTTTAAAATACCTTATCTTTTGTATATTGGACAGGGTAGCATCACTGAATGATGCACTCAAAACTTTCTAGGAGTACAGGAGTTGTTATGTAAGAACGTTGTTGAAGTCGTGCTGGCCATATTAGTGAGTTTACGCAACAGGACGGCAGGAAGAAGAGGACGGCAAAACAGCTGTGTGATAAACGTGACAGGGCTATCGCTTGTGGGTTTTGTCGTGATCGTCACTTAACACCAAGGTTTTCTGGTCCTTCACAAAAAGATCTGTTTAAAGGAAAGTGAAGTTTGGCGAAAAGTTGTTTCAAATAAAATTGTTGTCACGCTTGTCACACAAGTTTTGCCGTCTTCTTTCCTCTCCCGTCCTGTTGCGTAAGTTGCCTATTGACTACCGTAAACTGCTGCCTATGAACCCTGGGCTTAAAAGTCTTCGTAATAGGTTTTAGGAGGTCTAATAAACCGAGAGGCTCATATCCGAAGGGGCTTACAACTGGAATTAATAGAAAAACCGCTTCCGAAACAAGCTAAAGCAGTGCTTACGAAAATACATTTTCCATTTACTAGTTTTTAATTAAGCTTCAAAATCCCTGGTCAAAATAAAACGAATTTAGTTCAATACATTTGGTAAGAGCTTTAATATATCAAGGAGGGCTTATAATCGGATCTTTTTTGCATGTTGTTGTTGTTTACAGGTAGGTAGACCAATAACTGAGGGAGATCATAGTTGGGGAGCTTATAAGTGGTAGTTCATGGTAATTGTTAACAATTGTTTACATAGGTAATTACTCTGAGACAGTGAATGATGCAAACGCTGCCATTAAATTACAACCACATTTTCTGAAAGCTTTTGTGAGAGGTAAGAGATAAAGGTTTGTATTAGTGTTGATACGGGACGAAAAGGCGGCTGATGCAAGCCTTCAACCCATGTGATTTTGGACCTTTAATATTTATGCGCTATGAGCTACAAGTCTGTTCAAATAATGAATAAGTATAAACGAGTTGCTTCTGCAACACTGAGTCGTAGAATGTTAAAGAAATATGAGCTTTATTACTCTACGGTTTTTTTTATTCAAGCCACAATGACAGAAAACGTTAGCCAATTCTATGTTCATCTCTACGATCATTATCTATCACTATTACTATCACACCCTCGTGATATTTTAACTAGGCGATCTTTTATTAGCTTTTATTATGATGATGATGATGATGCGGATCAAATCATTTACTGTATTTGTTTTGTAAATTCGAGTAAAGTAAAGTATGATGTAGTTCTCGATAATTTTGTCCACTGTAGCTGACGTCTGTGCTTTATGCCTTGACAGGAGCAAGTGCCTGCATTCAGTTGAAAAAGTTTAACGAAGCCAATGCGTGGTGTGATAGGGGATTAGCAGTATCCTTTACAGGAATTAATATCTTAAATCTCCTAACACATTCTTTCAGCGTTGAAATTGTTTTTTGAAAATAAAAGAATATCCTATAGCTAGTGTTGATGATTCTGAAGGTAAGAAAAGACTTCATGGTGTTTGAACAATGTGTTTTACTGTGAAGTGATTTACTATAGCTGACTTTTTAAACGCTCGAAACAATGTTTACCATCACAGGTCAAAATTAACGAGGCTGCTTTGTGACTATTTTGTGAACTCGGGATTTCCTCGCAAGGCGCAATTTTGCCTATAAATAGAAGTTAATTTATGGAGAAAAAATGAAGGCAAATATTTTCGAAAACTGTACGTGCCAACAAGTTAACAAGGCAAAGAACACTGAAGATAAACAACACTCACCTCGATCGTGGCTACTGTTGATAGCACTTGCAGGAAGCGATTAAAAAAAAAAAAAAAAAATCTTTTCTTATTCACGGTGAGTTGACGGAAGCAAATAAAGCTCTACGTTTCTTTTCAGAAGGAATGGTAATATTAATTATTCAAACTTTCGATTTTTTTAAAAAAAACATTGATTCTAAAGCTTACAAAAAAATTAAAACTACGATTTGCCATGTTTGAAGATACTGTAAAGATCTAACTTTTGCGCATCTATTGTTTACGATTACATGTTCACGCTCGAATTCACCCGTCAATCAAACTAATCGTTTTTTTTTAATGGTTTTCTTTCCGATTCTGCTGAGATCACTTCTTGTGTATATACTAAAACAATTATTCACCTTAGGCTCAGTTAATATTTAGTTAATAAACCCCCTCCGGCGGCTGGTATATCGGAGGATAATGCCCGTGGCTGAGAGATATTCCGAAAAACAAACATTTCCTTCGAGGGCAAATGTGAAATTTTGAGGACAATCTCTCAGCCAAGGGCATTATCCTCCGATATAACAGCAAGCCAGAAAGGGGTTTATTTGCTTTATAATCCGCTGATTGATTTTTTCATCTGTAACATGTTGCGAGAGAAAGAAAAACAAAAACAATATGTGAGCGCGCGTGCGAATGAAGCAAACAAGCACATTGATTGGTTGATTTTTTTTATTAATAATAGTAATGATAATAGATTAAAAATCTCTATAGCGCTCTTTCCAGATGTGATCAAAAGCGCTTTACAAAAATTTCATATAAAATTAAATACAATATTGAAGAGAGAAAAAGTAAAAAATAAAGTTTAAAGTGCTTCGTTAAAAAGAAAGGTCTTGATTGATAGCAACATTTCTAATATCAGCAGGCAGTTTGTTCCAAAGCGCAGGGGCAGCAGCAGCAAGGGAGCGAGCACCAAGTGAGTGTAAGCAGCATTTTCTGTGTAGAAGGTAGCAGCACAGTACTGTTGTTTGAGCGGAGACCGTAGGTAGATTTGGGTTTGACAGTTTAAGTTCACTGATGTAGGGAGGAGAGAGACCGTGAAAGCGAGAAGCAGGATCTTGAATTGAATTCGCTTTACGACAGGTAGCCAATGAAGTTGTCGCAGTGCAGGAGTTATATGCCAGAATTTACTAAGGTTAAGAGTAATGCGAGCAGCAGCGTTCTGTACTCTCTTTAATTTTGAAATTTTTCACTGCGGGAGGCCATACATGAGACTATTGCAATAGTCCAGCCGACCTGTGACAAACACATGGATAAGAGTTACTGGACAGTCTTGTGACAGGTATTTTCTAATCCTTCTGAGGTTATGCAGATAATAAAATCCACAACTGCATACTGATATGAGTTTCCGTAGACAACATCGAATCAAACTGTGATTGGACCAGGGCTTGATCATGACAGGCTGTATGTCAAATGAACTCTCGCAACGCCCCATAGATCAAAACAAGAAATTAGCGCTTTTAGTTTATATTTTACCGACAGCACTCTTTGAAAATTACTCAAAAAACCGTTTCTAATGGACAAGTAAAGAGAATCCAACCATATCACTAACTTCCGCTGCAAGGGCTAGAAAAGTAAATACAACTATTAAACACAGAAACTGAAAAATCTGAAGCAGTTGAAGGATTTAAGTTTTACATTAGTGGGTTGTTCGCAAAACCTGGATTTGTTGCTGTGGATAGTGGAAGCTGAGGAAGTCATAGAAAGAAAGGGTAGAAGAAATAATGAGGCCCATCTGTAAGAACAGGTTGAACCGTCGACCGGACTTTACTTGAGTTAAACTTATAAATCGCCTGATAATCGAAGATGACTCGAACTTTAGTTGGTTGCTCACCGTACGACTCAACCAATTTATCGGTTTCATGGCCCGCTACTCTTTTTTCTCTCTTTTCTCCATGCTGAAAGTAACAAAAAGGCTTATTTTCATTAACACTTTGAAGTATTATTATCCATAGCTGACAGCTATGACTGCGTAAAAAGCTGTATTCTAGTTTCAGTTCAAGTGCATAAATATTAAGCTCAATTCGTAAATTTTGCTCATCTTCAATTCATAGCTTATTTTATTGATTTCTCTTTATTTTTCGGAGCTGTCAGTTGCGAACAGCTCAAAATCAGAGTGAAACTGGTAGTATTATGCAAAACAAGTTTGTTTCTAATACTTTCATTTTAAATTATTAAAGAAGATCAAAACTGAAAAGAGACTCACTTTGTTGACTTCGTGACAGGGTGTATTGCCTGATACTCGCCTTCCGATTTGGTATCACGTGACCTAAAATAGCCAATAAAATCCCGCGAAAATTAATCAGTGGATTATAATGTTGAATAATCCCCTCGACTTCGTCTCGGAGATCATTCAACGATATTAACTTTAAATAATTGTTAAATATCATGAATACTCTAGTTGAATTAAGCGGCATACCTTATATTTGCTTGAGGTCCTTATGGGTCGTCTTGATGGTACTTATCACATCAAAAAATTAACTTTAAATAATTGTTAAATATCATGAATACTCTAGTTGAATTAAGCGGCATACCTTATATTTGCTTGAGGTCCTTATGGGTCGTCTTGATGGTACTTATCACATCAAAAATCACATAAAAAGACAAGGAATGACGCTGCAACTAACTCTTGGCAAATGCAGTAGCATATCTGAGGTGGCGGTGATAGGCTTAGGAATCCGAGAATTTGCACAACAAATTATAGCATTGAATTATAAAACGTTTTCATGAAGAGAATTCTATAATGCCAGGACTTTTCAGTTGGAAAAATCTGGTCCTATGTGATATGCAGGGTAATAATTATGGGCTTTTAATGAAAACGATAAAAAAATTCCCAAAATCACTTTTCGGCCAGCCGGACGGGTCTCATTTTTGACAGGCACCAAATTTGCAGTGCGAATTTTCTAAGATGGATAGATTTTCTAAGCTATGGGACTTCGAATTGAGCCCGTGATCAAATAAAATATCAGCGCAAAACTTTAAACACTACGTGACCTCGATGGATTTACAAATGAGCCCGCGATACACTCAGGTGATGATGGTCAGCGTATACTCTAGTTTGACAGCTGTTAATTAACTTTCATTAGAATGGCGAATATTCGAATTAACAGACTACGAGTGTGAGTAAGACATATCCGTCCGGCATGTAGTGGAAAATGCCAGATCGTGTAGCTGAGCGAACCTGAGCCCACGTTATTAGTTTTCTGATAGTGGTCTGTACATGTTCCATTTTGACAGCTGTTAATTGACCTTAATTTGGCCTGCCAATATAACTTTAAACGACTGTCAGCCAACTGACAGCCTTGCCTGGCGTAGTTTCGTTTTTATGTTGAATTGGTAAATGGACATATTATATCAGCTTATATGTAGGGGCAAAACGACTGGTCTTTCATCTGAGCCCGCGAGATAGTCATGTGATAATTGTCAGCGGATGTCTAATTTTGACAGCTGTCAATCTAATCGTACTCATACGGATGGCTTACATAACTAAGAGGCTAGTCAATTTGTGCAAGATCTATTGTGACATTTGACATCGGCTTACATGAAGCGTGTGTACTGGTGGGCGAACGTACGCTACGTCATAACCAAATTTTCTCGGATGGATAGTTTACCAAATTTTCTTACCCATGGTGCTCCGCTGCGCGCGCGCGAGGAGCTCCGCTAAAACCGGTCTTGATAAGGCCACTAGAATTACACAAATTGATTTACTTATCATTTGCAACGTCTTGGTCTGTTGGTACAGCCTGATTGACACAATGATCTTATTTGATGGCATCATGACGTCATAATGTTGAATCCAAATACGTATTAGATAGCACGAATTGTAGCTTCGTGTCTGTCAGCAACGAAAGTTCAGGTGACCCAGGATAACTTGTTTCAAGTTTGTTAGTAGCTTTGTTTGCATTTTCATAAACGTTATTTAGCACTTTAACTGATACAAGAGAGAGCCGAAGAATCAGAAGTTGTTGGAATTACGGAAAAGGGCTTTGGGAGAACTAAGGGAACTGCAAGAGAGCCACAATAACAAGGTAAAAAAGAAAATAATCGAGCCCTATCGTTTAAGCATTT